TATTATAGCTCGCTAGGAGCTATAGAAAAGAATCCATTTTATGACAGTACTACAAGGTGCAATGGAAGTAAAATCAATCAATTTATTGCCTTCTCTTTCTCGTTAGCCGGCTATAATCCGTGCATAAAGGTTTGACCAACTCAAAAAGGAAAAGGCAATCTATTGACGGCAAGTTTTTTTTCCTCTCTCTCTTTCATTAGCGAGGACAAAAAAGCAATTAATGATCTTCTAAAGGGGAAATGGAATCAGAATCAATATTCCTTCTTCGATATACCGTAGCTCAACAACAGTGAAAACGACGACTTGGAAAGAATAAGAGAGCGAATTGACAGGATCGTGTGGCTTGATTTTACTAGCTTACAATCATGAAACTAAAAGGGTAAGCCTTTTGAAGGGGGAAGGAGTCCATCAACAGCCATTTTTCACCTATTTAGCATGCTAAGAGCCAGTTCTACCAAACTACGTGATTAAACTACGACTATAAATCAATTCTACGATCTCTTTCTTCCGTAACATAGTCAAAAGACGAAAGATCCAATCTACGCCTTCTATAGCATACGACAGGATTAAAGGCCCCAAAATTCATATTTAGCATTTTCTATTGCATTACCATGGAGTCTTGTCCACACTTTCTGTATTATACGACAGAATCCAATAGCAAAAACTCCATTTTTAGCCTAGCTATTACATCATTTGGACATGTATCATTTATCCTATATAATTCATTCGCCATCATTAAAAAAGGAAAACCCAGCCTTCCCTATCATACGACAGGATCCAATGCTAAAATATCCATTAATTAAACATCCCAATCGCATAATTTGTCGTAATCAAAAGAGGAAATGGAATCTACACCTTGTCTATCATACGACACAAGTTCATTTTTTAGTATACCCATTGCATCGTAATAAATCCAATCTACACCTTCCACATCATACCATAGGGTCCAAGGCTAATCATTAATTTTTTGTAAGTATACCTATTGCGTAATTGAGTTTAATCTAGACCTTCCAAATTAATTGTATGTTTGACTATCCTTGAACGATAAATTGCTACAGTAACTGTCAAGGTAGAGTGGGAATATTCTTCTGTGGTAGTATTTCTCATCTAGCTAGAAAATTCTTTCTTTTGATAGTTAATATTTTTACTGCTGACTTTTTCAATGGATACATGCAACAATCATAGGAGTAAGTTAGAGTAATGGTGCTGCTCATAAGCGGTCGCCAATCTGGTTGCATACTTTTTAGAAAGAAAACTAGCAAGGAATTTCTACAATCCTATCACTAGGATCGCTTACTCGTATAACACTCATCAAGTTAGCCTTTTGCTATTTGATGATTGAATGTGCATTTTAGAATCTGCATGGACTTGTTATGAAGAAAAAACTGGAAGGAACAACATCCAAACAACATCGCTTGTTTTCACTCGTAAGCGGTCGTCAATCTGGTTGTATACTTTTTTAGAAATAAAGCTAGGAAGGAATTTCTACAATTCTATCACTAGGATCGTTTACTCATTAAGGTAGCCTTTTGCCCTTTCATTATTCAATATGTACTTTAGAATCTGTATGGACTTGTTATGAAGAAAAAACCGGAGGAACAACGTCGAAATGAAAGCTATGATCGAATCATGATAACTTGATGGAAGCAAGAATAGACCGTAAGCTACTCTCTAAAGTCAAATAGATCTTGTTTTGGACGCTTGTTTTCAAACTATAATTTTAAATCGGAGCAAATGACCATCATACGAGTAAGTTAGAGCAATGCTGCTACTCGTCATCGCTTACCGATGTGGTTAGAACCTGAAAAATCCTAGAATTCGGATCGTTTTACTCGCATAACACTAAGGTAGCCTTCTTCTCTATTTTGCTTCAATCTGTATGAACTCGTCATGATGAAGAAAACTGCAAGGTAAAACATGAAAATGAGAGGAATGATCGGATCATGACAACTTAG